ACACACACACACACAAATAATAATAATGAAAAAGAATGTTGAGTGTTCAATAAAAAACTAGACTGAGGCCTGGTCTTGTATCTCCAAGGTCAAAGGAAGGCAGCTGTGCTCACCACTATACCAACGCACTCCTATGTCAAAGGGATAATATTTTTAGGTCACTCACCACTAGAGGGCACACGGTTTTTCTCAGTTAAAGAGGCTTCCAAATATGGACTGCGCAGGAAATTTTTTTAGTACCAAAAATCGAACTCAGGACCTTGGCTTGCCAGGAAGGCTGTAAATGAACTTTATTAACATGATGACATTTGTTATCAACGGTAACAGGTAAATGGCCATTTCTCCAGGATACTAAGTTGATGCAAACATATTGGTTCTGGACTGGGGCTAGGGCTCAGGCTGCGCTTGCCTGGCAAGCACAAGGTCTGTGTTTGATTCTGGGTACCAAAAAACAAAAACAAAAACTGTCTCTGGGGGCCAGGGAGATGGCCCAGTGGAATAAGCGCTTCCCTGGCAAGCGCAAGGGCCTGAGTTCAATTCCCGGTTCCGCAAAAATTAAAAAAAAAAAACAAAAAAAACCTGTTTCTGGACATCCATATATATATAAATATAAATGTATGGTATAATGCATATACAAGTTATACACTAAGTATATATTACATGTTAATAAACATCATAATTAATATCACTATTTTAGATTCAAGCCTGCTGTGTTCTCAAAGGACTTCTTTCTTATTTTCAGGCAACAGGCAGATTTTTGAAGTAAGAAGTTAATTTTCAAGTCAGCATGCCCCAGGGCACTGGCACAAAGCCCAGTGGGCTCCGGCCGGGCACTGCAGGCCCCAGGGCACCAAGCACACCTCACTGGTGTTGGGATCCTTCGGTTCCTTTGATTTAAAAGCCAGCAAAAGAAAGGAGAATTTATTCTGGTATGAGAGAAAATGAACACAAGCTAGGCTCTTTCTTTCTTTCTTTCTTTCTTTCTTTCTTTCTTTCTTTCTTTCTAGTACCAGGGAATGAACTCAGGCCCTTGCACTTGCCAGGCAGGTGCTTACACAGCTATCTCCCCAGCACCTTGGGCAGTTTCTTTACCCCCCCCCCCAACTTATCTGTCCTTAGGGCCTTCTGATAATGAAGGGACCTTTTTAAGATTTATACCTGGAGCCCTGATAATCTAGTCTCTGAGAAGACCAAGCATTTTCTATTGTATTATTTAAACTTTGAACAAACTTAATCACTTTTTTTTTTGTCTTCTTGAGACAGGGTCTTGCTATGCAGTTCAGGCTGTCCTTCAGCTCACTTTGTAGTCCAGGCTGGTCTCAAACTCTCAGTGATCCTCCTGCCTCAGCCTCCTGAGTGCTGGGATTACAGGTGTGTACCACCATGCCCAGCCAGATGTTTTATAGAAGTTAAATCAATATAAACTATTTTTATTAGCTACTATCACAGCATTGTCCTGTGTATTTCTTTTTGGTTTTGTTTTAAGGCTCAAAAAGAATCATTGGGGCTGGGGAGAAGGCTCAGTGGAATAAGCGCTTCCCTGGCAAGCACAAGGGCCTGAGTTCAATCCCCGGTTCTGCCAAAAAAAAAAAAAAAAGAATCATCTTTTGTAAACAAGGGTGGGGTGAGGGTTCCAGCTGCCTGGGCACTGCTGCTGGAGATCTGGTAGGTTCCCCTGGGTGGCTTCCCTGCTCAGTGACACTTACCTCATTGGAACTACAGTTGCCCTCCCATGCCCTGGAGGTCACTATTGAAAAAGGATACATCTAGTTCACTCTGGAAGAGAGAAAAGGAGAGCACAGGTAAGGAGAGACCTGTGGGAGGGGCTCTGCAGAGACGCCCACTGCTATGCCCTGCCCCAGAAGGGGAAGCAGAAGCCCTGAATGAGGGATAGTGCTCTTCCCTTCCTTTCTGTTGATACGTATTTTCAAGGAAAACACATTTAGAATATGAAAACGTCATAGTGGCAAAAAATAGCAGAAATGAGTTCATCTGTGTGTGAATGGCCCTCAGTTTCTCAGGCGCAGTGTGGAAACCCTCCTGTCTCTGCTTCAACTGCAGCAGGCCTAATGTCTCCGGAAGCTGGCTCCTTTGAGGCTGACTTGGCTTTTGGTTTTGAACATGTTGTACTGAGATGCTTCTCTCGGTCCAGAGAGCATGACAGTGATCTCCAAATTGAAATTTTGGAAACAAAGATAAAAATGAATAGTTTCCAAATATTTACTTTTATTTTTTAAATATTTTTTTCTATCAGATTTTCGTGGTACATTTTAGATATACGTAAGGATCACATTCATCATAGGGAATTTGTACCTGTACAAAATGTCTTAATTCTTTTCTTTTTCCATTCCCCACCCCTCCCTTCAGCCCCTCCTCCCCTCCCCATTTGCAAAGGCTTTGTTTCTACTTTTTCCTTCTTTTCTGCTATAAATGTATGCTGATAATGCTATTTTTCTACAATAGGAAAAATAGAGGCAAGTTTTTTTTACTTTTCCTTGCTTTCCTTTCCCCCCAGCTCCCTTGTTCCCCTTTCCACTTGAACATTTTCCCCCTATTTTACAATATCTAATAGATTCTTTGGTCTTTATTTTCACTTTTGGTTTCTCATACCAGAGAAGCAATGTGGCGTGTGGTCACAGGATGTTGCCATTCACCTAGGAGTGTCTCAAGCCTACTGTTCTTTCCTAGCCCCAGACATACAACCGACAAACCTAGCTGAGCTCTTTGACAGTCGCCCGTAACCTGGCACTCAGGAGGCTGAGGCATGAAGATTGCAGGAAATTCAGTCAGCCTGGGCTACGTAGTAAGTTCAAGGCCAGGCGGAACTACACAGTGAGGCCATCTCAGAAATAAATTAATTTTAAAAAAAGAAAGAAACTCACAAACTCAGAGGAGAGGTTGAAGGGAGGGGAGGGGAATGGGAAAAAAAAAAAAGAATTAAGACATTTTGTACAGGTACAAATTCTCTATGATGAATGTGATCCTTACATCTAAAATGTACCACAAAAATCTGATAGAAAAAAATATTTTAAAAAATAAAAGTAAATGTTTGGGAGCTACTCATTTTTATCTTTGTTTCCAAACTTAAATATAAAGCTCAGCTGCGCAGGCACTCTCGGGGAGTGCAACGACGCGCTCATCTCCTCACCCAGGGCTCCTCCCTCGCATCTGCTTTTGGCTATGGTCTGATTCTGCACCAGGTCATCCTTTGACCTTTCTTTTTCTTTTCTTTTCTTTTTTTTTTTTTTTTTTTGCGGAACTGGGGATTGAACTCAGGCCCTTGCACTTGCCAGAGAAGTGCTTATTCCACTGAGCCATCTCCCCGGCCCCCAGGTCATCCTTCGGACAGTCAAGGCCTGCAGAATCACCTCGTTTAAATTAGATTCTAAGCTTTACTGCTGTGGTGTATGTGGTCACTGACTACCCAAAATTATAGCAATAATTCAGCAATGTGCTAGTTATGTTTAGATACTGAATGTAATAATTAAACAAAAAAACCTTAGCAATTATAGTGGTCATATTCACTTTTTATTCCCCTGGGTTTAAAACATTATTATTTTGGGAAAGCATATCCTTCTTGGTGGGTGTCACTTCGAAGTGGCTAATTGTGGCCAGCTCTGAACCGCAGAGCCTGACCTGCAACTAGGTTACCTTCCCGTGAGAGTGCTCACCATAGCAGGAGCCACAGCTATGCGCTCGACATGGGAACCACCAGCCTGATGCAGTGATTTTTTTTTCTTTTTCTTTCTTTTTTTTTTTTTTTTTTGGTCTTTTTGAGAGAGGGTCTCACTGGGCAGTTCAGGCTGGCCTTGAGCTCACAGAGATCCTCCTCCCTCAGCCTCTCATGTGCTTGTGTTACAGGTGTGCACCACCACACCCAGCTCAGTGATTTATTTATTTTTTAAAATTTATGTATTTGGTACAGGGTCTCACTATGCTGCGTGGACTCATAGTGATCCTTCTGTTTTCAGCCTCTCCAGCGCTGCGATTACAGGTGTGTGCCACCATGCCTGGACTCGCTGGCTGGAACAGCGCACCCTGGATGGGGCCCATGTGGCATGTGCCAGGGATGGAACCACAGTCCTGGTGCTTGCCTAAGCAGGTGCTTAGTTCACTGAGCTATCTCTCTGGCCCTTAGTTTTAATTAGTCACAGTTAAATAAAACTTCAAAGTAAATCCCTCAGTTACACTAACCACATTTCAAGTGCTCAACCGCACATGACTAGCCCTACTAGCAGGGCATTTTCACCCCTGTAGAAAGCTCTGTGGACAGTCCTGGGGCTTTCTCCAACCAACAGCACAGAGCTAAGTAAAAGACATCAGTCAGGAAAGACCTCATAATTGCATAATCCTACTTATCTGAAATGTCTAAAACAGGCCACTGATAGAGACAGGAAGTAGATTAGGGGTTGCCTCGGGCTGGGGTAGGTGGACAGGGATAACTGGGGGAAACGCCAATGGATATTATGTTTACTGAAATCTCTTCATTATGGGGATGGCCGCACAATTCTGTGTCGATACTAAAAGCTACGGCTTTGAGTTAGTGAACTGTATAGTATGTAAATTATTTTCAATATGTTGCAGGCAGCCGAGTTAGATAGAAATATTATAGGCAGTTAGACAGGGTCAGGCCCTCAAGGAGACAAGATGGAAGACAAGGAGACTCTGCAACTTGGAAGAGACAGACACTCCCATATGGGCCACACCTCAAGACCAAGACAAAAAGAGGAAGCACAGCAACATACTTCCCTAGGGATGGGCATTAGGGATTGATATCCTAAATAGTATCAATCAACTTGAAAGAGCCCAAATGAGTCACTAGCCCAACCCCCAACAGGAAGAGACCCTATTCTGTATTCGTGTCCGCTTGCTACGTGACTCCCTTTCCCATTTGATACTGGATATAATCAATTTTACCTGAGCAATGGTGCTTGTAATCTCTTTGGTTGACCATAGTTTTGTCCCACCTCATGCCCAACTAAGCAAGTTCCCATGTCCTCTCCACCACCTTAGACCTGCCTCACTTCAAGGTTTTCCTCTATAAAAGTCCCTGCAAGAGACAACTTCCTGGGGGGAACTACCTGCTCGGGCCCCCCTCCTGTCCCTCTCTCGGGACAGGAGCTTTCTTTCTCTCAATAAATATATTCTGCTCATAACCTCCATTTGTTCCTAAAATTCATTCTTCGGTTTTAGAGAACACGAACTTGTGCAGGTCAGGTCCAGAGATCGTTTTTCCCTATGTCATTTGGAGGTTCCCTATATTGTTTGGAGGTCACCCACCAGAGACCAGTTTTTCTCCCTGTATCAAATATATCTATTATATAAAGAATAATTTAAAATGGACTCATGGATTCATCTTTTTGTGACAGGGTCTTGCTATGTAGTTGAGGTTGGCCTTGAGCTCACTTTGTAGCCCCAGCTACCCTCAAACTTGCAATGATCCTCCTGCTTCAGCCTCCTGAGTGCTGGGATTCCAAGCATGTGCCACCACATCTGGCTATGGATTCCTATAGAGGAGTTAATTTTTCACCCTCAAAATGAGGGTTTAGATGGAAATGATAAAGTGAAAGGGTGGGGCCAGTGGTATAAGTGCCTGCCAGGCAAGCACAAGGTCCTGAGTTCAATCCTTGTTACCAAAATAAATAAATAAATAAATAAATAAATAAATAAAGTAAAAGGGCTCAAGTGTCTTACTAGGGAAAGCAAAGTGAAGAAAAGAGAAATGATCAGGAGCAAAATTTTGTAACTGAGAAGTATCTACGTTTTTGAGAGACAGTTCTTCAGAAAGAGCTAACACATGCTTATAATTGTCTGGATGAACCAGAAGGAAAAATAAGGGAAATCTGGCATCATTTGAATTTCGACTTTCACATGTTAAATCTCTGTACTAACACATCATCTTGATATATACTTATAAAGTGATTCAGTTTCTAGAAAAGCAGGCTGGGGCAGAAAACCGAATTAGTCATTAGACTTACCACTCGGCTGAAGTAGGCATCTAAAACTTCCACAAAATTATGGATGAATTCATAAATGGCCATCTCATTCTGAAATAAAAGTGGAACTGTGAGATTATTGTTAGCATGGTGGCTGAGCGTGGTGGGACAAACCTGCAATCCCAGCCATCTGGAGCGAGAAGGCAGGAGAATGGCAAGTTTGAGGCAGCCTAGGCAACTATCTACTTTCCAAGGCTCTGTCTCAAGAGAAAAAAAGGACCAGGGTGATATGGCATAGTGCAGAGATCCTGGGTTCAATCTTCAGTTTTTTTTTTTTTTTTCAGAACCGGGGATTGAACTCAGGCCCTTGCGCTTGCCAGGGAAGCACTTATTCCACTGAGCCATCTCCCCGGCCCCTGTTTTTTTTTTTTTTTTTTTTGCGGAACTGGGGGTTGAACTCAGATCCTTGAGTTTGCCAGTCAAGCGCTTATTCTACTGAGCCATCTCCCCAGCCCCAATCCTCAGTATTATTTTAAAAATATTTTTATTGAGAAACAATTAGCAATAAGACAGTTTCACAACCCATTACTAGTACATTTTCAATAATTAATACATTGCATATTGTTGGCATAGTGGTTATTCATTGTACAAGATGCATACCTGATATCCTGTCTCATCAATCCCCAATATTGGGAAAGAAAGAAAAACAAAATTAGCATGGCCTTCACATACATCAGACACAGAAATTTGCCCAGTTGGCTACTAGGTTTTAGAGCATGTGCCTTAGCAAAGAGTAATGTGAGCAGGCCAGCTTTCGCCTGACAAGTATCCAGAACAGAGAGCCATTGCTGGCTTATTTAAAAGATGCTTATTAAGGCCGGCCAGCCAGCTCAACAGACTAAAGTGCCTGCTTAGGCAGAGCGCAGTGGCCGGGGTTCGATTCCTGGGCCTGCCTTGCCGTGCCCCCCGCCCCCCAGGACGTGCTGAAACAGGTGATTGAGACTGTTGTGGTGGTGCGCATCTGTAATCCCAGCACTTGGGAGGCTGAAAACAGGAGAATCAACTACAAGTCCGATCTACATAGTGAGACCCTGTAGACCCTGTGCTAAATACATTAAAAAAATAATAAATTGGTAAAAGATGCTTATTTAGCTGGTTGTGGTGGCACATGCCTATAATCACAGCTGCTTGAAAGGCTGAGGTAGCCTGAGCAATTTAGTAACTTGTTGAGACCTTACCTCAAAATAAAAATTAAAAGAAGTCTGGGTATGGTAGCACATGCCAGTAATCCCAGCATTCTGGGAGAATGAGTTTGAGACCAACCTAGGCAACACAGTGAGATGCACTTTGTAAAAAACAAAAAACCTCAGCCAGGTGTTGTGGTGCTTGCCTGTAATCCCAACACCAGTAAGGCTGAGGCAGGAGAATGGCTCCAAATTTGAGGTAAGCCTGGACTACACAGTGTTTACAGCCAGCTGGAACTACATACACTTAAAAAAAAAGATCAGCTTGGTGTGGTTCCACAGGCCTCTAATCTCAGCCATTCAGGAGTCCAGGCAACACAGCAAGATCAAAAAGAAAAAAGAAAATAAGAGAGAGAGAAAAATAAAGAAAAAAAAAGGTAAAAGGCTTGAGATGCCATGTGTCAGCCCCTAGATTTAATCCTCAATACTGAACAAAAGCCACAGTAATTCTCAGGGAGATATGTAGGTGAAGGAATAAAAATCCGAGCTAGCCCTAATTTCCTAATTTCCCTCTATTTCCCATGGGCCCTTCTAATATCTTACCTCCGTGTCATTAACTCCTACCACAATAAAGAGGGCCGCATACTGCCGATAGACCAGCTTGAAATCCTTATATTCAATGAAAGAACACTAGAGAAAACAGAGAGGTGTTAATGTCCTTTGGGACAAGAGTTTTTTCCCACAATGGCATGCAGAATTTCCAGGTTCTGGTTTGAGTGCCTGCCCCACAGTTCTAGAAATCTACAACAGTGGGATATTACATAACCCTTGAAGGCCTTCTCACAGCTTTGGGGGGCTCGCTGGAAGCACCCCGCGGGGCTGAAGAAGGGCTCTGGCGAGACGTGTGAGCGAGCCTTCCCATTCAACTCCACCCTGCTTCTCCCCTGCTCAGTGTGTAACTAACCCAGCAGGTAAAGCTAATGAAAATCAGTGTTTAGACCACCTCGCAGGGGAAGCTACCGGGAACGCCATAGATTCTCTTCTTTCCACCTCTTCAGGGCCTCTTGGGAAGCGATTTGATATGCTTAGTTGTGTACTATTTAAATAGTCACTGAGAAGACAAATACAGTGAAAACAGCACTGTGTGTGATATACCACATATTTTTCCTTTTCCTAGACACACGATGAGTCAATATGGATTCTTTTATGAATTATTAAAAAGTGGCCTTTGTGTGGTGGATGCTAGACAACATTTCCCACTGTAAACACAGCTTCATATGCATTAATAACTAGTTTACGGGCCCGAGTTGTGGATGAAACAACTCCCTTTCTCCAAGAGCCACGGCCGTGTGAACACTGGGAATTAGATAGGAGGCTGAGGTTGTTCCTCTTCTGGACCCTGTCAGGGAGGTGGACTGAACATGACTGAGTACATTTCACTCACACCTTCTGTCCTGGGAGATGTTACGGTTGGATACCTGGATACACGTGCCCTTGAAGCTGCAAGCTTTTTGTTTCATTTTGTAGTCATCACAGTTGAACCCAAAGCCTTCACACTGAGCTGTAGACCTAGTCTTTTTATTTTGTGTCGTGAAACAGAGTCCCACTAAGTTGCCTCGACTGGGCTCAACCTCATGATCCTCCTGGCTCAGCCTCCCAGAACACAGAGACTAAAGACATGTGTTATCACACCCAGTGGAAGCTGGAAATTTTCATTATGGAAATTCCTCCATAAGAAAGCCACTTGATAATATAGCATGGAGGGATGTGAGGCTTGTACTTAAGCTCAAAATAAAGGTAATACAGGGCCAGCAAGATAGTCTAGTGGGCTAAGTGCCTGCTTAGGCAAGCACAGTGCCCTGGGTTTGATCCCTGGCACCACATGCCACACCAGCCCTACCCTGGGGCCCTAGAGCAAGAACACCAGGTATGGTGGCGCACACCTATAATCCCAGAGCTGGGGAGGCTGAAAACAGGAGGATCACTTCCTCTAAGCTGCATAGTGAGACCCTATTCCAAATACATTAAAAAAACAAAAACAAAAACAAAAAAACCCCAGGAATAAAAGTAATAAGTGTAAGACCTCTAGACCTCAAGGCTCATGGTAGAACCAATGTGACTTCTGCTTAGTTGGATTTTTCAACTCATTTGAAAGAACTATAGGACATTTTTTCTTTTTTGCTTCTCTAGCACTGGAGGTTGAAGCCAATTCTTTTTAAGTTTCCTAAAATTTTGCAACATGGTCTTGTTAAGTTGCCCAGGTATCACAAATCTGTGATCCTCCTGCCTCAGCCTCCCTCAGGGCTGGTATTAAAGGTGTATGTCATTGCTGGGTATGGTCTATGGGCCTATAATTCCAGCACTTGGGAGACTGAAGCATGGGGATCACTGTAATTTAGAGACCAGCCTGGGCTACAATTGAGCTCAAGGTCAGCCTGAACTGCATAGTGAGACCCTGTCTCAAAAAAAAGGTGTGTGCCATTGCACCCAGCTAAGGGACATTTTTCAAAGTCTTTTAGGAGTTTTTGATGTTCAGAAATGAGCATCAAAGTACCTTCACCGATAAAATAAACAGTAAGCCAATACAATAATTTAGTGCCTCACTATGTCAAAGGACCAGTGGGTTTCTTTTAAGTTATAAAATCATTTCGAATGCTTCAAAAACTTCTAACAGTTTATTCAGTCCAAACCTTGTATTTCAAGCTGGACACAGTGGTGAAAGCCTGCAATCCTAACTATTTTGGAGGCTAGGGCAGAAGGATCTCAAAAGTTTGAGACCAGCCTGGTAACTTGTGAGATCCTGTCTCAACATACAATTTACTTTTTTTTTTCAGAACCAGGGTTTGAACTCATGCCCTTGTGCTTGCCAGTGAAGCACTTATTATACTGAGCCATCTCCCCAGCCCCTCAACATACAATTTAGAAACAAGTAGAGATGTAGCTCAGTGGCAGAGAATTTTCCTAGTCTGTGGGAGGCCCTGAAGTTTGGGATTCAATACTGAAAAAAAAAAAAAAAAAAAAAAAAGGTTTGCATTTCAGTGAAAATGATGTTCAGTGTTACAGCGACTCTATTCTATACACAGATTCACACAGCAAAGCTTGGCTGTTTACCTTAAAGCACATAGCTGTTCAGTCTTCTACACCGTTTCCATTCAGAGAAATGCACCATAAATGACCAAAATAGTAATACAAAGAGGAACTCTGAGATGTTCAAATTAGAAAATAACTTTTTTTTTTTTTTTTTTTTTTGAGGTAGGGTCTCGCTATGTCATTTTGGATGGCCTTGAACTCTGTAGCCCTGGCTGACCTCCAACTTGCAGCAATCCTCCTGCCTCAGCCTCCTCAGTGCTGGGATTACAGGTATGTGCCACACCATGCCTGGCTAGAAAATGATTTTAAAAGCCAAGGGAAACGCATTTGCACCATGTAACTTCTGAGCTCTTGCAACAGCGTCTGACATGGCAGTCTTCCTACATGTGCAGGGAGATGAGAACAGAGGAAACAGATGGGTGATTGGAACAAGGCTTCAGATGTTGCTTCAGTTGTTGAGCTCCAACAGATTGACATGGGAGACCTGGACTAACTAGTTCTCTGAAGTTCTTTGTAAAAAGCTGTTCAGCTTAAAAAATACTACTTATGGGCTGGGGTAGAGAAGTGGTGGGAGAGTGTATTTAGCATGTGCAAGGCTCTGAATTTGATGCCAAAATTAACACCCATAAAAATTCTATTTATTTCTTTTGTACCAGAAATTGAACTCAGGACACTGTGCTTGCCAGGCAGACACTGTACCACCGAACTATCTCCCCAGCCCTCAAAATTCTATCTATTATTTTAATGATTTTATTTAGCCTTTTTAAAAAAATTTATTTTATTATTATTTTTTTAGCCTTCATATTTTGGAAGGAGGATTTAGCTTAGTGGCTGAGAGCCTGCTGAGTATATACTCAGGGCTCTAGGTTCAATACCTAAGGCCAGGGCTGGGGAGATGGCTCAGCAGAATAAGCGCTTTCCTGGTAAGCACAAGGGCCTGAGTTCAATACCCTGTTCCGCCAAACAAAACAACAAACCTAAGGCCACAAAAGAATGAAGAAACTTTGGCAGGATGGACAGATCTGTTGTTTTATATGATTTTTAAAAATGTATTTGGAGGGATGGGGAGATAGCTCAGTAGAATAAGCACTTGCCTGGCAAGTGTAAGGGCTTGAGTTCAATCCCTGGTTCCACAAAAAATAAAAAAAATAAAATGTGTTTGGTCCAGAGGGACTTGCAGTGATCTTCCTGTTTTCAGCCTTCCTAGTGCTGGATTACAGGTATGTGCCACGACTCGCAGTGTGGGCCAGCACAGGGGGATCGAACCCCAGTCCCTGTGCTTGCCTAGTAGGCACTTAGTCCACTGAGCTATCTCGCTGGCCCTATTTTGTATGACTTTTTAACTTACGTTTTTCCTCATCTACATGATAAAATAAAACAAATTCATATCAAGTTCGCTTTTTTAAACTCCTAGTTCTAGCACTATATCAGTGTATATTTACAAAAATGATAATCAAGATAAAAATACTACTCCCAAATGGGAATCATATTATTATCCTCTAGCACAAATGATATTATTATCCTTGAGCATTCACCTTCGAACCGGTCATTTGACTTTCAGTTTTTGGCTTACAGAAAGCCACCTGCTTCAGGCACTCCTAAGAGTTCCAAGGGCTGAATTCATATGAACAAAAAAAGATTATGTTTACTAGCAGGAGTAAATTTAGCTACCACTTCGATGGTGTACTGAGACAAATATACTGACCTAAGTAAGAACCCAAGACTTTCTCTGCTTTTCTTGTTTTCATTCTCTTCTGGGGATATAAAGAGAGACAGGCTTCCTTTGGTTTTCATTCCTTATTTTCCCTAATAACTGCTGAAGGAAGATAGTCCAGAGAAAATGACGGCCCTTGCGACTCAGTAATGACACACCTGTCTGGGCTGAGCTGACTGCAGAGATGAAAGAGAACTTACTTGTTCTCTTGGAACTTACTTGTTCTCTTGGAAACTTACTTGTTCACTGGATCGAGACAGGCAGGTCTTTATGACCTCTGTTTCCAGCAGTGTACGCTTGTTCATGTCCACATGTTCATAGTACTTGGAAAGTCGGGTCTGTCCTTGTTTATTCACCATAAGGAAGAATTTTATCATTTTTTTTTTCCTGGCCAGTGCTTTCCCAAATATAGTTCAAAAGTTATGGCTCTATCTGGAACGTACAAGAAAAAAGAACAGTAAGCCAAGATTAAGTTTCTCAACATACTGAGTCTGTTCTATAGATGGATCAGAAGAAAATATAACCTGCTAACATCAGTTTTCACTGCAATGCCTAGCTAAATAATAAGTAACAACCAAACATAAATGTCTGTTAGTTATCTTCAAAACCATTTGTGAACAACAGGCATTCTGCTCATATTCATTGAATTTTATTCATCTGCGTTGTTGAACAACTATGTGCCAAGCACCAGAGTATGGAGATGAAAAAGCGATGATTTTCTGGGCTGGGGAGATAGCTCAGTAGAATAAGCATTTGCCTGGCAAGC